TAATAATAATAATAATAATAATAATAATAATAATAATAATAATAATAATAATAATAATAATAATAATAATAATAATAATAATAATAATAATAATAATAATAATAATAATAATAATAATAATAATAATAATAATAATAATAATAATAATAATAATAATAATAATAATAATAATAATAATAATAATAATAATAATAATAATAATAATAATAATAATAATAATAATAATAATAATAATAATAATAATAATAATAATAATAATAATAATAATAATAATATATAATAATAATAATAATAATAATAATAATAATAATAATAATAATAATAATAATAATAATAATAATAATAATAATAATAATAATAATAATAATAATAATAATAATAATAATAATAATAATAATAATAATAATAATAATAATAATAATAATAATAATAATAATAATAATAATAATAATAATAATAATAATAATAATAATAATAATAATAATAATAATAATAATAATAATAATAATAATAATAATAATAATAATAATAATAATAATAATAATAATAATAATAATAATAATAATAATAATAATAATAATAATAATAATAATAATAATAATAATAATAATAATAATAATAATAATAATAATAATAATAATAATAATAATAATAATAATAATAATAATAATAATAATAATAATAATAATAATAATAATAATAATAATAATAATAATAATAATAATAATAATAATAATAATAATAATAATAATAATAATAATAATAATAATAATAATAATAATAATAATAATAATAATAATAATAATAATAATAATAATAATAATAATAATAATAATAATAATAATAATAATAATAATAATAATAATAATAATAATAATAATAATAATAATAATAATAATAATAATAATAATAATAATAATAATAATAATAATAATAATAATAATAATAATAATAATAATAATAATAATAATAATAATAATAATAATAATAATAATAATAATAATAATAATAATAATAATAATAATAATAATAATAATAATAATAATAATAATAATAATAATAATAATAATAATAATAATAATAATAATAATAATAATAATAATAATAATAATAATAATAATAATAATAATAATAATAATAATAATAATAATAATAATAATAATAATAATAATAATAATAATAATAATAATAATAATAATAATAATAATAATAATAATAATAATAATAATAATAATAATAATAATAATAATAATAATAATAATAATAATAATAATAATAATAATAATAATAATAATAATAATAATAATAATAATAATAATAATAATAATAATAATAATAATAATAATAATAATAATAATAATAATAATAATAATAATAATAATAATAATAATAATAATAATAATAATAATAATAATAATAATAATAATAATAATAATAATAATAATAATAATAATAATAATAATAATAATAATAATAATAATAATAATAATAATAATAATAATAATAATAATAATAATAATAATAATAATAATAATAATAATAATAATAATAATAATAATAATAATAATAATAATAATAATAATAATAATAATAATAATAATAATAATAATAATAATAATAATAATAATAATAATAATAATAATAATAATAATAATAATAATAATAATAATAATAATAATAATAATAATAATAATAATAATAATAATAATAATAATAATAATAATAATAATAATAATAATAATAATAATAATAATAATAATAATAATAAATAATAATAATAATAATAATAATAATAATAATAATAATAATAATAATAATAATAATAATAATAATAATAATAATAATAATAATAATAATAATAATAATAATAATAATAATAATAATAATAATAATAATAATAATAATAATAATAATAATAATAATAATAATAATAATAATAATAATAATAATAATAATCTCTCTTTCTTTTTCTTTCTCTTTTTTCTCTCCTCTTATGAGATTGTATATTCGATTTGTCGACATTAAAAATAGTAATGGTCGATAAAATAAATATTTTCTAAATTGATTAATTTTTTATTATTTTAATTTTATAACATCAATCGATAATTGATATTTTGCAGAAAATAAATAATTAATATTAATAAATAAAAAAATAAAAATAAACAAAAGTGTATATCATTTTATTTGTTCCGTACATTGCGTTTAAGATCCTTAATATATGTAGCTTAATGTTCGTTCTTCTTCTTTGTACTCGATTATCTAATCGTTTCAATCTATAATTACGATTTAATGGAGAAGATTAACCCTAATGCGTATCAATGTGAGTTATTTCGATATTATCGTACTCGAAATGATGATACTATCGATATTCTCTTTTTTATCGATGCATATATTTAATTATTTTTATTAGATTCTAATTGAGTATTTTATTTAAACTAAGCACAACCAAATACAATTGATTTATTTGTTTATCGATTATTTTGCAATCGGCGTGATAAAATTCACTAAAATGAAAAATATACTAAAGAAAAAGATAAGGAAAATAAAAAGATTTATACGGAGATAATAAATTATATACGCGATCTTTCAGATTTGTGTATTAATAAAAAAGAAAGAAAGTATATTTCATAAATATATTTTAATGTAATATTAATTATGTTGATTATTATATCGAATGGAAATTTTTCTTTTCATTAGTTTACGTTTAATTATATAATTAATTTTTGGTTAACTTAAATTCGTTAAATAATATTCGTAATTATTTAATTATACATAGACATATATATGCATATTAATGAAATAAATAATTAAATAATAAAAAGTAATTATTATTGAATTTGACAGATTCAATATTATTGAAGAAACGGCTAAATGAAACGATGTAAAGCGAGGCTTGCCGATTCGTTAAGAAGAACTTGTCAGGGGTCAGGGGAACATTTAACCTCACGAAGAATTACCGAATTGACTCGATCATTTGACCCCTTCCCCTCGGTTCCGAAAGACACGAAGAAAGAACGATGCAGCAACGTTTAGGTCAGCTTCTTCTTTTACTTCTCTGACGAATTGTCATAGAAGGAGTGAGCCTGTGGATCTCTTCTCCGGTTCATTCATAAGTCGATTTAATTTCAAGCTCGAAAGTTAACTGGCTTTTCCGGTCTTAAAACATGTTTTGAACTCTTTCGTTCAAAGATTCGAGACAGTATATTTTGTGTATTTTTTCTTCTTTTTTTTTTTCCTCGTCATTTATCCCGTCACCGTTTGTTCATTTCTTTGTACGAGAACAATTGTCGTATTTCATATTCGAATTATTTTTTTTATACAGGGTGGGCCAAAAGTTTTCAAATGCTTTAAAAGTTCCTAAGCGATTTTAAAAATCAATTACTCTTTTTCGAGACTTTTTGAACAGATTTTCTTTTTCTTTTAAATTTTATGACTACAAATTAAGGAATATTTTTATAATCTGAAAAATAAATTATCCTAAAAAATTGAAAAAGATCAATTAATTTTTAAGATCATCTAAAGAGTTTTGGATCACCCTGTATTTTTGTAAGTTAATTGTAAGTTTTCAAGAAACGTAAAACTGATAGAAAAAAGTAATTATTTTTAATATTTTATACGTATGTTAATATAAGCTTGGGAATTTATTATAATATAACTATAATAAACAAGAAACAAAATTTCGAAAATGTAGATATTTGTTATTTTATATATTTTCTAGAAATAAAATATCGACAGAAGAAATATAAATTATATAAGCTTATTAAAAAAAAGATAATAATATAATTATAATAAATGAGAAAACTTTTTTTGAAAACACAGATATTCTTCATTCTAAATATTTTTTTGTTCCCAAGGAATAAAAAATCCAAGATAAATAGATAATAAATAAATAAATTGTTCTCCATAATTTATTTGCACTTATTTGTACTGTTTATCATACGTTTTAATTTATTAATATCAATAATATCGTCACAAAAAAGAACAAATTTTTCTTTAAATCGTTAGATTATTGACGGTATCAACATTTTTGACAAATTCAACGCCATTAGAACGACAATTCCTAAAATATTAGGTTTCATTGATGGATGATTATTACAAGCATAGCCCTCGCAAAAGAAACATTCGATGCTCGAATGTGGATAATATTGTTCATGTTCACAATAACGATCAATTTTTCGACTGGGTACACATCCTCTTACCGTTACCAGGATGTTCCTATCTATAACATTGAAATTCATTGTTTTAATGACAATATATCCACACATCAATGAATAGAAATATTTTTAAACAATTAACAAATTACATTTTAAATAATAAAATTTCTTTTGACTTACACATTATAACACCTTTCAGACAATGAAACGATTCATTTCTAGGACAAAATACCAAACCCATAGAATGTCCTGGGACGTAAGGATCATTACACTCTCTTTGATGGCCATTTTTTAAATTAGTATTGCACTCATAACACCATAGATTTTCACAGCCCGTCGATTCTGTCAAAATTACATTGACGCATTTCTTTTTTTTTTGTGTGTGTATGTATATATATACAAAAGCAATGGAATATATATATGTATATATATAAAATCCTTGTATAAATTATTACGAAATATAACCAAGAAAGACAAAGTTAGTAGAACAATTAACCATGTGACACGTATATACGCCATAAAAAAAGAAAAAGAAAGAAAAATAAAGATTAAAGTAGATATTTATTCAACAAGACATTTCCTTTCCTTCTGAAATACGACACGCGTAAAATAGGACTAAATTCTGGTCTCTCATAGACGTCGACTAAAGTACCCAATCAGATTAATTAAAACAATTTGTTTAAAAAGCACATTAGTCAATCTCGATTAAAAAATTAAATTATTATTACTCACTTATTACATTAAAGACGAGCAAAGATATTGTCAGCACTGTTAAGTATTCGACCATGTCGGATGCTGTTAATAAAAACGCACCTGCTATTCGCGTCTTTAGCGAGTCGAGATATCTTATCTTTGGTAATAAAAATGAAGAGCAAGTAAAGGTAAGAAAGAAAAAGAGAGAGAAAGAGGGAGAGAAAGAGAGAGAGAAAGAGAGAGAGAGAGAGAGAAAAGACACTTTACGTATTTTTTTTTCATATGAAATAACACGTTAATTGAAAAATTAGATTAGCCCATCGTTACGTTCTTCTTTAAAAATTTTTTTATTGTGTCTAAATAATACTACTTTATTATACCAAAATAAAATAAGAAATACTTCTTTATGATACTATATAGTACTATATAATATATTATAATAGTAGTTTACACGATACTATAAAGTATATTCCTTAATAGTATATATTATTAGTTATAGTACTATCATAGTATAATACACCTACTAATATATCACAATATATATTATAAATACTATGTATAGATAGATACAATAGTATATATACATAAATAACTGGTGCTATATAATACTATACTAATAAGTATACTATATGTAATACTGAATAAAAATCTTCATCATTTAGAAAGGAAAGAATAACTCAAATAAAACAAGGTTAGTCAACACGCTTTTTTATTGCTCGTTATAATTATCGTGCGGCAAACACTTTTATTTGACCTCGAAAGCTTTAGCATTTTCTTGATACCAATATCCAAGCTCGAGAATCCATATCCATTGCATACACGTAGAGATACGATAGTTATATATATATACATATATATGTGTGTGTGTGTGTGTGTGTATTTTTTTATTCTTTATTTATTTTTTTGTTTAATTTTATTATTTTTTAAACAAACAACAGTCGTCTTTACATATTTGTATATATATAATATTATGTATATATTCGTATCTCATACGTATATTTATATGTGTGTGTGTATGTGTGTGTGTGTTGAGAGGTCTGTGTATATATGATATACTTTTGCTAGCGAAGAACGCACATGCGACGTATTCGATTTACGGCGTATAACAAGAGGAAAATATAATTTTTTGCAATTTCGATGTATTATCTCTATTAGGATAAAATACGTAGTTCGAGATTAAATATTCGTATTAGATTTCGAACACGACATATCCTAAGAAATTAAAAAAAACATCGTGGTTTATGCTGAAATTGCTTTGGACACTTGGGGAACGGGAGGATAGGAGAAATTTTCATGATAGAAAGAGGTCGTATGCAACGACGATAACTGTGATTCGAAAGTGGACATGAATTTACGGATTAATTTGGAAAATGGGAGGTGATAGAGAATGTTGGAGGTTATGCATCTATGTAAAGGATAAGAACAAAGGCAAATGATCCAAGAACAATGAAAATAATATTACTGATACTTGGGGAAATCGTTATCGAACCGTTGCAACCATTTTCTTCGCATAATCCACAATATTCCATGCCACCACCAAGTTTGCCATTTATCGACGTGCAAGGATCAACATTTAATGCTTGTGCCGTTTGGCAACTTCTTATCGTCACTATTTTGTCCTGGCCTTGAACTGTTGATGAAAAAGAAAACAAAGAAAAAGAGACGACGGGAAAAAATTGATAAGCTTAAATAGGATTTAATATATCGAAGAAAATTTCAACGAAAGCTAGTAAAAGAGATTTCTACTCACTTTTGGTATCGACTTTGGCACATGCCATATTCTTCAACATACTTTGATCATGTCGAGGATTATCTACAGCAAAAATACTAAAAATTGGCGTAAGTAACTTATTCTGTTGAATAGTGTTCTGCCACTTTGTCATTTCTTCCATCGTACATTCCGTAGGCTCAATTGCCTTTGATTTTGTTATATCATTCCCGCAATCTTTATCCGTAACTGATGTACACATATAACATTTTAATATATCATCTGTAAAATGATAAAAACATTGTCGATTATTTTTTCTTTAACATTAATTAATTAATCTTTTTACGAGATAATAACGATTGAATTAATCTTTAGTCATTGAGATTAATCATTAAAGAAAATATTATTGATATCTACCTAAAAAAACGTTTTTTTAATTAATTCAATTTGAAAAATACTTGGAATAAATAATTTGTCTGTTAAATTATCTATAAAAATTTCACGAGATTGAAGGATGATAGACTGGATTAAAAAAAAAAAGAAAGAAAAGAAAGGGAGAAAAAGAAAACAATGTGAGAAAAGTAAGAAATTATATAAAATCTTAATGTTATTCGAAGAAAACAGACGATGTTAATTGTCGGAACGATCTTACGTAATTTCGCGCCATCCATCTGCAAACGTGCGAAAATTATTACGTGCCGAGAATAACAGCGACGTCTTTGTTGAAAACTTTTTCTTCGACGAACGACGAAATTCTTCAGTGAAGAACGAAACCTTGCTTCGAGTTGCACTAGAAAAGTTTTATCTAACACTTGAATAATATATACAGAATGTAATTGTTTAAATAGGAACATTTATGAATGTCAATTTGTTTTTATAAAGACACAAGAATAATTATTAAAAAGAATAATTCATATGGAAAGAATTTCGGAGATGGTGAGGCCACTCTTGAAAATTTTAGAAATTTTTTGCTTTGTTCGATTCCATAAAAAAGAAAAAAAAGAAAATCAAAATAGAAACAAAAACGTTGTACATAAAAATAATATCACATTTGATAGATGTATCAGACACCAAAAAAGAAAAAAGAAAATATTATCAATAAAAGATTCACTTTCAGTAGGGGGTTAAAGAGTTGGTTCTTAACATTTTTCAAATTTTTTTACTTCTTCCGATCTAATTAACCGACTCTAAAAAAATAGAAAAGAAAAAAAGGAAATTTCTATATAAACCCTTCAACATATTTGACAGATTTATTAGACTCCAAACAAAAAAAAAAATAAAAAGATTTATTGTTAATAAAAACTCACTTTCAACTACGAACTAATTTAATTAATAAACATTACAATGTATAGATACGTTCCTATTTAAATGTATCATGATCATAACTACATAACTATATACAAAATAAAATATAACACAAAATATTATTACGAAGTAATGGAAAATCAATTCTATTGTTAAAATTTGGAAAAGAAATGCAAGTAATGTTTGCCAGATATCTTGATCGTTTTACTTGATAAATATGGTGAACCCCTAGTATGTTTTTAGTATTAAGTCAAGTGGGGTGGATGCGTATGTACGTATCGTAAGAATATTTATGGTTGAGAAAGAGAAAGAGAGAGAGAGAGAGAGGGAGGGAGAAAGAGAGAGAAAGGGAATGTATAAGTGAATGTGTAGAGGTATAGAAAAGTTGCTCTCCTTTAAGGAACACGCGTGTTCTTATTATTTGGGTCGCGGCGATGTGGCGCCAAAATTGTCGACGCCACCCACTCTTTCTTTCTCTTTTTCTTTCTGTTATTTTTCATTTTATTTTTATTTTTCTTTTTCTTCTCTTTCTTTTCTTTTTCTTTGATCTGTATATTTATCCAATTTTACAAATTTCGTTTCTTTTCTAAATAATTATAAAGAAAATTTTTATTTGACTTTATGATCCTTTTATTGGATTTCGTTTTAGTTCTATTTGATTTTTTTTTTCTTTTCTTCATCTACACGTTTACCATAATAACACTTACACGTAATTTTATAATCTTTCTGTTTTTTTTGTCTTAATAATTATAAAGAAAATTATTCTTAATTTGACTTAGTAAAGTATTCGTAATTTTGACTAGGATAATGTATGAAGTTATATTTGTAATTCGGAAAATATAAATAATTTTGAAATACTAAATTTGATAAGAAGTTTGAAAATAGTTTTATGTAGAACTTTGCGAAGCAAGCTTTATCTCGGTCGAAAGTAGTAAAGTTCCTTACAAGTCGGACACGTAGGAAGGAACTTTGCCTTGGGTCGACGATCTTCGAAAAACACACGAAGTTTTACAAAAATCCCGGATTATGAATTATTATATTTAAAATTTATCTTATCTTTGCAAATTGGAAATACAAATATTTTATTAGCTCCATTAAAATTTTTAACAAGCAATAGCTTTACGAATTGTCTTTTTCTTTTTACGTTTGTTACAATCGTCACACAAAGCGAATTTCACATTTTTATTTATATAAAAATAAAAATAAAAATAAAGATAAAAATAAAAATAAAAGATTAAACAATTTTTATGATACAAAATTTTAATAATTCTCACCTTCATTGAACCACCAAAAATAATAATTAAAATCGTTGGATAAGAGTACACTTGATTATTCACGTTTATATACATACATATATATTTTTTTGTATATAAAAAAAAATAGAAAAAAGAATGAACAATTTATAAAAAATTCCCACCTGATCGAACCACCAAAAGGAAAGGTGCGAGTGCGACGAAAAATATCGCGAAGTTTCGATACATTTCTCCTTCTGTCGATTACAGCTTTCGATCTTCTATCTCTCTCTCTCTCTCTCTCTCTCTCTCTCTCTCTCTCTCTCTCTCTCTCTTCTCTCTGTCTCTCCTTCGAAGAATCACAAAAGTTTAGTGGAGAAACACTTGCTCGGCCGATATCATCGGAATCTTAGAAAAGAAGGGTTGTTGTCGTGTCGACAGCCTGATCGCGAATATGAGATCGCTGCCAGTGGTTCGCCACTTTCCACACATTGACTCTCTTCTCTCCTCTCCTCTCCTCTCCTCTCCATTCCTTTCCTCTCCTCTCCTTTTCTCTCCAATCCTCTCACGAGTCTCTCCCATCGCGCACAATGCGTACAAGCCACCTATGTATTTCTCGCACCCTTCTATTTTTCTACCTCTACTCTATTTTTTTCTTCTCTTTTCTTTTTTTTAACACTTTGCTCACTTAATAACGATCACCTTTAATTTATATTTCTTTCGTTTATATTTTTTATGTATATTTTTTTTGTTTGTTTTTGTTTTTCTTTTTATATTTACAAGGTATTAATAAACTTTTCTATCTCTCTCTCTTTTTTTCATTTTTGTTTTTTGTTTATTTAAGTTTTTGATATGTAATAATAATTTTATACTTTATGTTTTGGATTCATTTTCTTTCATTATTCCTATATGTGTTCTCTGTTCTATTTTATTTATACATATATACACCAAATAATAAACGTTTTTCTCTCTCTCTCTCTCTTTCTCTCTCTCTCTCTCTCACTCTGAGAGAGAACTCTGTTTGTTCGAGTTTTAGATATGTAATAATACATTTGGATTAGTTTATATTCATTTTAATTAATTTTTCTTAAATGTGCATTCTATTTTCTTTTTCTCTCTTTTTTTTAAATATATTTACAATGATATATTAATGGTCTTTTCTATCTTTCTCTCTTCGGTTTTATTTGTTCCAGTTTTCGATACTTTAATATAACTTAGACTAGTTTAAATTAATTTTCTTTAACTTTTATTACACATATACTTCGCTCATTTTTTTATAGATACTTATATGTATTAATATATCTTTCTATATATCTCTCTCTGTCTGTCTTTATTTCTGTTCGAGTTTTAAATTTGTAATGATAATTTCGAAATTAATTCGAATTCATTCTAATTAACTTTTATTAAATGTGTATGCTTTATTTTCATATTTTATATTTAAAGAAATAATTTCATTGTAATGAATATTTGTTTTTCTTTCTATCTGCTTTTTTCTTTATTAAATTCAATAATTACACTTGCCTATTTAAATACTGCTTCGAATCTTCTATAATCTTACCTCTTTTGTAGCTTACAAGAAACATACATCTTAATTACAATAAAAAAGTTATTTCTTTTTCATTTCTTTATATCTCTACATAGAGTGTGTGAACTCTGTAACTTATAAAACATATCTTAATTGCAATAAAAAAACTATTTCTCTTTTTCATTTCTTTAGGTCTCTATATAATATAAAGTGCTTCAAATCTTATCTTTACTATAACTTAAAAAAACTCATCTTTATTGGAATAAAAGAACTATTTCTTTTCTTCATTTTTTATACCTTTACATAGAGTATCTAATATTATTTCGTTTCATGTAATAGGAAGAAACACTAGAAGCTATATAAATTTGTATAAAACATATATATATATATATATGTATATGTATATCATAAGAAATATTAGAAAGTATTCGGAAAGAAATCCTTTTCACGATGAATTCACCTGTTGCATGGCAACAAGATAAAACTTTGCCAAAAGATTGAAGAAAAGATATAGAAGAAGAAGAAGGAAGAAATAAGAATAAGATAAAAAAAGGTTATCTCATACGGTGTATCGTCCGGTCATGAATACGTCGAACGTACGTAATTGGCAATTCAAGTATCGGCCGATCTTTTATCCAATTAGGCTTGTTTTGTTTCTTTTTTTCTATATGTTACAAAACCGCGTATATCCGGCATTCGTTTTTTGGCAACGATTCCGAAGGAAATTGTTGGAAATTCGAGAGTAATGCCGACGCTCGAAAGATCAACAAAGACGCAAGAGAAATAGAAAGGGAAAGAGGGAGAGGAGTGACACGTTTAATGGACTATTAGCCTAATTAAAGTAACGACGAGTATCGTGATAGAAATGATCGATTAGATCAGAAAATGTCAAATGTGAACAAAGTGAATTAAAATTAACGTGTAATCTATTTTTAATGATAATAATTATAGAATTTATATTAAATTTGTTAAATAATTTAAATGAGTTCAATAAAAAAGCGGAAAGAAAAAAAATTATGTTCGTTTAGAATTTTATTACAGTATGTACTGAAACAAAGTCGATGAACATTATCGTTAATCGCAAAATAGTATCATATATATATATAGAGAGAGAGGATAGGAAGAGTGAGAAAAAGAGAGAGAAAGAGAAAGAAACGATACATGTTTCTTGTATAGTATATGACATCTTTCAAAAACAAGTAAGAGAAAGAGAGAGAGAGAGAGACATAGAAGGAGAAAAGGGGGCAACGCATATTGAAGGGGTAAGAGGATGGAAAGAGAGACGACTGGCGCCGCGGCGCCCATCTACGACGCCACTGACGCCGTCTAGCTTGGAGTTTTCATTTTAGCAATTACCAAGAAAACTCCATATAGTAGAATTCACATAGGACGATTTCAACCAAGATCGTTATTTTATGTACTCTTTTTTCTCTCCTTCGTTTTTCTTTATTTTTTATTCTTTTTTTATATTTCTGTTTTTATTTATCTTTTTTTCTCAATATCGAATCATCAGGAAAAGCTTGATCATTATTATTCTCGGATTAATTTTGACTATTTCTATATACTGGATAATCTATAAGTACTTAGATAATTTTAATAATCGATTACTTCTTTTTTCTTTTCTTTTTTAATGATTTTTTTTAACCTAATTTTTATTTCAGAACGCGATACTATAATACAGACATAAGAACTTTTTTGTTCATCCTGTATAATACATTGAATTTCCTTCACATAAAAATTTAAATAAGATTATTATCTTGATACTAAATTACAGTTTAATCGTATATTATAAAACATAAGAAGTAGGTATTCATATGTGATTCTAATCATTATGGTTTACTTATAATGGACTGATAGATATGAATGGACCTTTCGTCCATCGA